AATTTCTATGTTATGCTCGGGATATTCAACAAAATGGTATGGTGGATGCTACTCACAACCCTTGGTTGGTGTTGATAAGGTTTTACAACAATATGGGGTGGTGTCATGTCAGTAACTGTGAAATTCGCTTACATGTTTTATTAAATTACAGTATGTCTTTTCATGCTTCAATGATCCATCATATCATAGGTAAAAATGTTTAAACAGAACCAACAAAAGGTTCGCTCAAAATTAATAATGAATACTCATTTCTTTCTAAACTTTAAATGTCGCGACTACATGTCGCTATTGTTGTTGTTGTTTACCCTTATATGCCGAAGTTAATTTATCAGAGGGCTTATAATTGTGTACTGACAGTATTGACAAGGGAAGATAAAACACAAAAATGCACATGGAATTGAAACATGGCGAAAAGATAAAATTTCCGTATTGATAGATTCCTTTTTGGAAGGAAAAAATGCAGTTACTTTCTGCAACAAAATGATATTCTCCATGGAAGAATTACGCCTCCATGACCAGACGTTTAAAGATGGCGTTCACAACACAGGACAACGTCAACAAGATTCCAATCACCCAGAGGAAACGAAATTGTTGGATCCCAACCCACTCTCAGACAAGATATGAGGGCACATATTCCTAAGGGTATCACCCTCTTTCCTTGGCCAAGTTTGATGCGCAAAGAGATCCCTACGAACACATTGCCTCCATCAATACACAAATGGACATTATAGGAGCGTCTGACTCCCTGAAATGCAAGATGGTCAAAAAATTTAGCATTGCAAAAACTTCTGTCTACTTCAGTAGATACCATAGCATTTCCTAATATGTTAGTAACAACCTGCTCCATATTAAGACCAATGAGACCAAAATCTTCATAATTATGGGGATTCATATCATTTATATATTGTATGCTCTTGATGAACAATCTATATACCTTGTTTTGATAACACAAACCAGAAGTATGTTTTCATCCTCACTTACCACATCTTAATACATTGTCTTAACATGATTCTCCACACCTTCTACTACATGATCCTTCTTTCCTTTTGATGAAGATTTTATTTTCACATCATGGTTAGTACAATCACCACCATGAAATACAAATGTATCACCTTTAATATCTTCATTTACATGATCATCATCACTCACAAAATTATTCTCAAGGGTCACATCATCATTGTCCTTATAAATTTGAGATTTTGTCAACATGTTGGGCAGAATGTCTGGCACATCTTGATCAGAATCTTGATTTCCTAGATTGGTTTCCATGGGTCTCCTTATCTAAATAATTGTTACTATAATGATGATTCGCATAGGCCCATACATGAGAGGGACATCAATCACATTACCACCAAAAACTAAATCAGACTTATCAACATGTGGAATATTGTGAAAAGCAATATTTATAACATACATCTTATGATTAAGGTTCAATTGACTTATATGAACACCAATATCAAACACACTATTATGTTTTTGGTTGATCAAAACTCCATAGATATGAGAAGGTACTCCAATAGGAATAATTGTGTCATGATCGTTATTCTTCTTTGGCTTCTTCTTTTGAACAACTATTGGTTGTTCAAATTGGGAGGACATCTAGCTTGACCATCAGTCATCCTTTCAATGACAACTCCTTTATTTATTCTCATAAAGTGTATAAGTGGTAATTGTGAAACACGAGAAAGATGTTGAAACATCCTGTATGACATCTTGGTTTGCTTCTCAAGATAACAAACTTAATAAGTATTTCCATCTTTAAATTTAAGAATAATACATGTATGACAACTCTCTCTGAAACATCCCCTCAGATTTTTGTACCATGGTTTAATTTCAATTTCTAACATGTCTTCCATGATGTCTGAAACATGATCTTCAACATTCTCCTCTACAGTGGAAACACCCATCTTCATCTTAAGAAATTTCTTTCTTTCATGGCTATCACATAATATCACACATTTTCTTTCTCCTATCAACTGTATATTGCAACTGCTTTCAGAAACACAACCTTAACAAGATAACACCTTGTAGGGAAAACAAACAATATAAACAAGAATATTAGGCTTGTCATGCCAAACTTGTTAATGATTCCTTTTAAACTTCTCATTCCACTGAGGATACAAATGTTGATGGTGTGATTGTCTAATGTAGAACTTAAATAGTACAAGGGAATAAAGGAGACAAAATAAATGCACTAGTAATCATGTTTGACCATATGTTAAGACATGTTACCAATTATTGTGCAATCTGCTTTTTGGATATGAGTAATACACTTTAAATTTGATGGCTCATCAATATGTACACACTTTCATGTCTTTAAATATAACAATTGTTTTCTTGATTAAATCCACCTTCTTCATTTATCTTGTCCTTAGATACATGGTATATTTTTCTCTATTTCCTTGAAACACGTGATCATACAACTTGAATATATCCAAAGTCTTGACATTTAAGTCATTGGATCTTTTTGCACCTATAAGAATAATTGAGATTTTGTCTTTCACCATCCTTTTCTTTCTGCTGAATGTTCTTGACATTGGTTGGGACATTATTCTCAGACTTATTGTCAAGTTTCCTCATGACGTTACTAAATCTCTTATCTGATATATTCTTCAGAGTTACCTTCAATTTAGTATTCACAATCTCCATAATTTACAATAATCTTTGGAGGACTATTAGCACCATAAGACATATTTGGTTGATAAACAACCCCTCCTTCATTGAAATTCTCCATCTTGAACAGAATAAGAACCAGGATGATAATAATATGATAGTAATAAAACAATACATAAAATAATAAAGTAACAAAAGAGATTGATAACCCAGTTCAGTAAAACCACACGTACGTCTAGAACAATTAGTCTTATAAAAACCTTCAAACCATATGAAGTTTTATACCTCTCTAATCCTATTGACTTTCTATTTAGATCTTCCCCTAAATATGAGAACTCCTCTCACTTTCTATCAATTAATAATCCTAAGTGATCAACATCAATAAATATAATAATGAATGTTGAATACAACTTAACTAAAACAAGCCAACAACTATGCCAAGTTATTGAAACATGGAGTTGTGTACACAATCATGTTAAATTTATAACTCAACTAAGACAAACCAACAACTATGCCAAAATCTAAAAAGGAGGTTTTCCTTCTCTTATAACATTATTTCTCTCCACCCCTGTGGTGTGTTCTTTCTGGGTCTCCATAGCCCTTTCTCTCACTCTCTTCCTAGAACTATGTTTCTTCTAGGATTTTTTCACCCTTTATTTGTTTCGGTGTTTTCAATTTGTTTTTCTTTAGGCTATTGTTTTTCGCTAGATCTGGTTTTGTTAACTTAAGCCGCTATCAAGTTACCTTTGTCATGGAGGAAAAATAGAAAGAATAGTGGAGGGATGTTCCATTTTTAAAAAAGGAGGAAGAAGGAATAACAATCGAAGAAGATGCAGAAATTGAAGGTGAAATCTTTAGCAAAACTTTTGTGGGTAAATTGTGGACGGATAACCCCTTCAATATGAGTACTTTCAAGCCTATGATGATTCAAGCATGGCGAAATGATGGAGAAATAGAAGGAGATGTAAACCATCAAATTCAAGCTGGATGACTGAAATGGAGACGGGGTTCATAGATTATATGTAACACAATGGTACCACTCAAGTTAAAGGAAATTTTTTTTAGTGAACTGCATTAAAACATATGATGTTGTAGGAGACATAATGTTTGACGATTATGAATCAACATGAGAATAAAGTGTAGTAGAGATAATGATATTGTGTTTGTGTGTCATAAGACTAGACAAAATATGTTTAGAAATGAATGAATATATTAGGTATGGTGTTGGGGTAACACCTATAACAGAAAAGATGGTAAAAAAATATAATTGGATAGTTCGGACATGTAAAAAAAAAGATCTATAAATTTTATAATAAGGAGACTAGATCAGAGAAATATATCCTATAAGAGAAATTATTAAAAAAGATGTTGAAATTAAAATTGATCATGCATTATGTCAAAAATTAATCCATGTGACCAATTTCATTTAGTGTGATAAAATTTAGTTGTTGTTTTATTCTTACTTTATTGTAAGGTCAATTTTGTTGATTCGTTAGGGTTAAATGGACAAATTAAATATTCATATCATATTTTCAGTGACAATTTAACATCTTAGATTTATTCACCTAAATACTTACCTGTTATCAAAATTAAATCTAAAAGAGCGCAAGATTATCCCCTAAACACTCTCATGGTATCAAAATTATCTGCAAAATAAAATGAGGAACTAAAAAACAAGAAATTAAAAATGGAAGACCTAAAACATTCTTCGTTCAATGTGATGATGCTCAATGACTACTTTAAGCTTAACATGCTTGCTACACCCCTTGTCACTTTAGGAAGGTTGGAGCCAAACCTTTGTCATGGTTACTGCTTCTGAGAATGGAGAGGAGACACTGTGATCCAGGATGTCCTAACTCCAGAACTTCAATATGATGCTCAGGATATTCAACAAAATGGTATGGTGGATGCTACTCACAACCCTTGGCTGATGTTGATCTGGTCTTACAACAATATGGGGTGAAATTCGCTTACATGTTTTCTCAAATTACGATATGCCTTTTCGTAGGTAAAAATGTTTAAACAGAACCAACAAAAGGTTCACTGAAACTTAATAATGAATGCTTAATGCTTTCTGAACTCTAAATGCCATGACTATACGTCACTTTTGTTGTTATTGTTGACCCTTATATGCTGAAGTTAATTTATCAGAGGGCTTGTAACTGTTTTGAAAACTGAAGATAAAACACAAAAAAGCACATGGAATTGATAAAATTTGTGTATTGATAGATTCCTTCTTGGAAGGAAAAAAATGCAGTTACTTTCTGCAACAAAATGATATTCTCAAGCAGAGAACCAAAATTCTCTAACAATACCTGTACAAAATCATTTGAATCTAGGGACTAAACTAAAAGAATAAGTATCTGACCTCTTGTACATACATCAAATTAAAAGTTCATGACTTCTGAAGAGAGGTTAAGCAAGGGCTCCAATGCACTTGGATCAATCTTGCGAGCAAACAGGTAACAAATAGAAGTCATATCTGAGTTATATCGACAGAGTGATCCATTATTCCTTATCGCCTGTATAAAACTGACAGTTATATTGTCCCTCCCGTACGTTGCCGGATGAGGACCAAGCATTGACCAGTCCACCCATGTGACTGTTCTGTTTGAATTAAGCCTACCATGGAACATGTTGAGGAAGGTTGGAATGTAATGTTCATCCGGGTAGCAAGCAGGCTTACAATACTTACGGAAGAGGTCATAGTATCGGGTATCCGAGATGATATAAACCGCTAGAGCACGGTGAAGTTCAAACCATTGAGAGCCTTTGCGCCAGTGTCTAAGCTGAATATCAGGAAGCATATTGCGGTTGTAGCGGCCCCGGCCATAACGGGTTGGTTCGTCATACGACTCAACAAAGCTGTGCGCAGAATCCACGAGATATCTATAAACGGTAGGGAAGTTGTGGACAGGTATGCAACTTTCCGAGAGGAGAATAAAGCGCTCATTCGAAAAGTCGAGCAGTGCATTGGCTAGAAGCCGCCTCTCCGCATCCGCCAACGTAACTGTTCCCCAGGAAACAGCCTGCCAATTAGAAGAAAAAAACTCATAATTAAGAATACTCTCCATTTTTATTAAAAACAGTACTGATATAGAAACAAAGAATTATTAGTTTAATAGGAGTGAAAAATATGAATATTCAAAACAAAAGAAACAGCAAGTGTGGCTATATTTTATGAATTTAATTTATACACACAGAAACTATAAAAACTATCTCATTCAATCAATTATCCTTATCAACCTATAAAAGACCGACCTGACTTGGGATGTTGCGTCCGTAAAAGGGGGAAGAATCTGAAACGTTGAGAACGTAACCAGGAGGAGCATGGATATAAATGTTGAAGAGATTGTAGTGGCCTTGGAAGAATCTCTCCCAGAGGGGCATTAGCGGCAAAGGTCCTCTCGTAAGGAACATGAAAGCAAGTTTGGGCACACGAGCATAGGGATAATGTTCTTGCTTGGGAACCAAGGAAGCCCTCCAGAAAAGCTGGTCGTCGGTGAAAGTATGCGTGATGCTGGAAGGATGAAGAAACGCCTCCAACATATCTTCCTTCTCTGTATCATAGGATGGTGGAGGAGGTTCAATGAATGTACAATTACAGTTACAGTTGTTGTTATTGCTGTCGTTGTTTTGGAAGGAATCACCGACACGATTGAAGACACCAGAGGAAGGTTCTTGTGAAATGAAACGAAGGTAGTTGTTATTGTTATCCAAGTAGTGAACGTGAGAAGTGGTGGTTAAACCGAGAACGACACCACCGGCGAAAACAGCCAATAATGTAACAATTTGTGCCAATCTAACCAATCCAGAATACTTTGGATCTCTTTCTTTGTCTCCACTCTCTTCGCCTCCTCGCATCCTCGCCATCCAATTCGATAGACTCTTTTGTGATTCTCACCACAAGACAATGCTGCGATCACCGATCATGAATCTGGATCTAATGATTAGGGTAGAGATAAACAGTAACAGAGAAGGATCCGAGAGAATGAAATCAAGGGAAGAACAAGAACAAGACAATAATCGGAAACAAATGTTGTTGTCGCACTTTGTGAATGAATCTTTGTCTGTCTGTGTCGGTTTGTTGAGGCGAAGACAAATCCAAAAGGGAAAGCGAATACAATACTGTTTATCAGACTCCCACGCTCGCTTATTATTTTATTTTATTTATTCACTATTTTATTCTAATTATATCATATATAATTAAAAAAAAAACATTCTAGATCTTATCTTATCAATAAAAGGGTAAAGCTAAGTGGTTTTAATACTATTTAATTAGAGTTTTTTTTTCTCCCGGATGTTCATTATACACATTGAAAAAAACAAAAAGTTAGTCAGAACCACCAAAGCCACATGATAATGGTGGAGGCGGTGATTTTTCAACATTCAAAAGATATTCTTCACGCACAAATTTTTCAGGTCAAAAAAGCGTTTGTCTCCAAGGGAAGTTATTAATCTAATTGGTCACAATTCTTTTATTAAAATTGATATACCTGAAACTTTTTTTTTTCTATTTCATGTAAAATAAAAGAACATGAATTTTTTCCCCTCCTTATATTATAAGAACTTTTTATGTGAATCACAAGTTATAAAAAAAAATCAAAATATCTTATTTTTAAAAAATTTCTTAAAAATTTATCTCTCTATCTCTGATTAATATATATATATATATATATATATATATATATATATATATATATATATATATATATATATATATATATATATATATATATATATATATATATATATATATATATATATATATATATATATATATATATATATATATATATATATATATATATATATATATATATATATATATATATATATTAGATCAAAGGTCAAATCGATGAAATTTTTGGTTTGAGATTCAATTATTTTAATCAGATAAATTTATGGTTGAACCGTTTGTCAAATTAATTATTTCAACCGGTTTTTAAAACACTAATATCTTAAAGACTCATCAAAGGATATCAATGAAATATAAGTATGTCAATCAAAAGAGATGGAGTTCTCCACTACTCCTGAAGGATAAGTGGTCAATAACTTCTTTTAATTAGGGGGAGCGGTTGCCACCATACAGATTATTCAATCCCTAAACCCAAAGGGACTCTATAAATATTCCTCCCCTCAAGGGTAGCAGAGACATATCTTAAGCCATACAGATTTTTACACCCTAAAATATAGCGTTTAGAAGGACCATTACTCATATGATTACACATCTCATAAGCTTATACCTAAGCACATCGCTTATCCACAAGCCTTTCACTCACGTGAGCAAGACTCCAAAAACTACTATAAAACACTGTCATAGCGGTTTCTTGCCACTGTGGGCAAGCCCTAACCACCATACATCGTGGGGTTCCGGTAAAACTAACATGGGTCTCACCATCTTCACAACTATTGCCCTATTCATTGTCACCCTTCACTCTTGAACTTAACTACATTCGGTCATGGTTAACAGGAAAGTTCCATCCCTTACGCCAGAAGGTACCAGCGGTAACGGTGATACCAACATCGAGGCGGAGATGCATGCCTCCATGGAAGAATTACGCCACCATGCCCAGACGTTTGAAGACGGAGTTCACAATACAGGGCAGCATCAACAAGAATCTAATCCCCCAGAGGAAACAAAACTGTTGGATCCCAACCCACTCTCAGACAAGATATGGGGGCACCTATTTCTAAGGGTCTCAAACCTTTTTCCTTGGCCAAGTTTGATGCACAGAGCGATTCCTACGAACACATTGCCTCCATCAATACACAGATGGCTATTATAGGAGCGTCTGAATCCCTGAAATGCAAGATGGTAAAAAAATTTAGCATCGCAAAAACTTCCATCTACTTTAGTAGATAACATAGTATTTCCTAATATGTTAGTAACAACTTGCTCCATATTGAGACCAATGAGACCAAAATCTTCATAATTATAGGGATTTATATCATTTATAGATTGTATGCCATTGATGAACAATTTATTACCTTGTTATTGATAGCACAAACCAGAAGTATGCTTTCATTCTCACTTACCACATCTTCCTACACTGTCTTAACATGATTTTCCTCATCTTCTACTGCATGATCCTTCTTTCCTTTTGATGCAGATTTTCTTTTCACATCATGGTTAGTACAATCACCACCATGAAATACAACTGTGTCACCCAATATCTTCATGAACATGATCATCACCACTCACAAAATTATTCTCAGGGGTCACATCATCATTCTCCTTATAAATTTAAGATTTTCTCAACATGTTGAGCAGAATGTCTGGCACATCTTGATCAGCGACTTGATTCCCTAGATTGTTTTCCACGGGTCTCTTCACCTAAAGAATTTTGACTTGGATGGTGATTCGCATAACCCCATACATGAGAGGGACATCAATCACATTACCACTAACAACTAAATCAGACTTATCAACATATGGAATATTGTCGAGAGCAATATCTATAACATACATCTTATGACCAAAGTTTAATTGACTCATATGAACACCAATATCAAACACACTATTATGTTTTTGGTTGATCAAAACTCTATATATATGAGAAGAAACTCCAATAGGAATAATTATGCCATGATCGTATTCTTATTTGGCCTTTTCTTCTTAACCATTATTGGTTGTTCAAAATTGGGAGGACCTCCAGCTTGACCATCATTCATCCCTTCAATAACAACTCCTTTATTGATTCTCATAAAGTGTATAAGTGGTAATTCAGAAATAAGAGAAAGATGTTGAAACATCTTGTATGACATCTTGGTTTGCTTCTCAAGATAACAAACTTAATAAGTATTTCCATCTTCAAATTTGAGAATAATACATGTATGACAACTCTCTGTGAAACAACCCCTAAACTTTTTGTACCATGACTTAATTTCAGTTTCTAACATGTCTTCCATGATGTCTGAAACATGATATTCAACATTGTCCTCTACAGTGGCAACACCCATCTTCATCTTAAGAAATTCCTTTCTCTTATGGCTATCACAAAATATAACACAGTTTCTTTCTCCTATCAAAATATTGCAACTGCTTTCAAAAACACAACCTTAACAAGATAACACACTGTGGGAAGAACAAGCAATATAAACAAGAATATTAGACTTTACATGCCAAACTTGTTGATGATGCCTTTGAAACTTCTCATTTAACTAAGGATACAAATGTTGATGGTGTGATTTTCTACCATAAAACTTAAAATAGTACAAGGGAATAAAGGAGACAAAATAAATGTAATGGTAATCATGTTTTACTAGATGTTGAGACATGTTACCAATCATTATGTAATCTGCTTTCTGGATATGAGTAATACACTTTAAATTTGATGGCTTATCAGTATGTACACACTTTAATTTGTTTCCTTGATTAAATCCACCTTCTTCATCTATCCTATCCTTAGAGACGTGGTAGATTTTTCTCTATTTCCTTGAAACACGTGAGCATACAGTTTGGATATGTCTAAAGTCTTTGCATTTAAGTCATTGGATCTTTCTGCACTTATAAGAATAGTTGAGATTTTATCTTTGACCATCCTTTTCTTTATACTGAATGTTCTTGATATTGGTAGGGACATTATTCACAAATCTATTGTCAAGTTTCCTCATGAATTTACTAAATCTCTTATCAAGGTTGAGATATTCTTCAGAGTTACATTCAACTTAGTCTTCACAATCTCCAAGTTCACAATAATCTTTGGAGGATTCTCAGCACCATAAGACATCTTTGGTTGATGAACGACTCCTCCTTCATTGAAATTCTCCATCTTGAACAGAATAAGAACCAGAATGATAATAATAAAAAATATATAAAGCAATAAAATAACAGAAGATATTAGTAACCCAGTTCGGTGAAACCGCACATACGTCTGGAAGGCACTCTTTCCAATAAATGAAATTCACTACTTCGAATTAGAACAATTAGTCTTATAAGAACCTTCAAGATATGAAGTTTTATGCCTCTCTATAATCCTATTGACTTTCTATTTAGGTTTCCCCCTAAATACGAGAACTCCTCTCATTTTCTATCAATTAATAATCCTAATTGATCAGCACCAATAAATATAATGATGAATGTTGAATATAACTCAGCTAAAACAAAGCAACAACTATGCCAAGTTACTGAAACATAGAGTTGTGTACACAACCATGTTAAATTTATAACTCAAATAATACAAACCAACAACTATCCCAAGTTCTAGAAAGAAGGCAAACTTATCTCTATAACTTATTATTTCTCTCCACCCATATGGTGTGTTCTTTCTGGGTCTCCATAACCCTTTCTCTCACTCTCCTCCTGGAACTATGTTTCTTATAGGTTTTTTTCACCCTCTGTTTGTTTCGTTGTTTTCAGTTTATTTTTCTTTGTGCTACTATGTTTTACTAGATCTGGTTTTATTAACCTAAGCCGCTTTCGATTTTTCTTTGTCATAGAGGAAAAACAGAAAGAACAATGGAAGGATTTTCCATTGTTAGAAAAGGAGGGAGAAAGAATAACAATCGAAGAAGATGCAGAAATTGAAGATGAAATCTTTAGTAGAACTCTTGTGGGTAAATTATGGACGGATAACCCATTCAATGTGAGTAATTTCAAGTTTATGATGATTCAAGCATGGAAATTAAGGAACCAGGTGGAGACGCGTGATCTAGGGAAGAATATTTTCCTGTTCCATTTTTCAACAAAGAATGATGTGGAATCGGTTTTCAAAGGGGGGACCATGGAATATTTATAGAAAACTTCTTATTTTGGAGAGGGTTTTTGGAGATGAACAACTCTTTAGGATGGAGATGCATTTCGAGATTTTTTGGATACAGGTCTATGATCTACCATTAAAGTTGAGGTATGAAGAAATGGCGAAGCAACT